TCCTTAGCAACTACTTCAGGTTGCTCCCTGAGCAGGTCACACTTTCACCCTGGAATCAGTGGAATAGTTTTGCCCCGGATGCTAGTGGCCTCACTTTCTGTTTCCTGTCGTTCAGCTCTCCTTTTAACAAATAAAAAACTGAATAATTGGGCGTGCAAAATTATTCAGCCCCTTTACTTTCAGTGCAGCAAACTCTCTCCAGAAGTTCAGTGAGGATCTCTGAATGATCCAATGTTGACCTAAATGACTAATGATGATAAATAGAATCCACCTGTGTGTAATCAAGTCTCCGTATAAATGCACCTGCACTGTGATAGTCTCAGAGGTCTGTTTAAAGCGCAGAGAGCATCATGAAGAACAAGGAACACACCAGGCAGGTCCGAGATACTGTTGTGGAGAAGTTTAAAGCCGGATTTGGATACAAAAAGATTTCCCAAGCTTTAAACATCCCAAGGAGCACTGTGCAAGCGATAATATTGAAATGGAAGGAGTATCAGACCACTGCAAATCTACCAAGACCTGGCCGTCCCTCTAAACTTTCAGCTCATACAAGGAGAAGACTGATCAGAGATGCAGCCAAGAGGCCCATGATCACTCTGGATGAACTGCAGAGATCTACAGCTGAGGTGGGAGACTCTGTCCATAGGACAACAATCAGTCGTATACTGCACAAATCTGGCCTTTATGGAAGAGTGGCAAGAAGAAAGCCATTTCTTAAAGATATCCATAAAAAGTGTCGTTTAAAGTTTGCCACAAGCCACCTGGGAGACGCACCAAACATGTGGAAGAAGGTGCTCTGGTCAGATGAAACCAAAATCGAACTTTTTGGCAACAATGCAAAACGTTATGTTTGGCGTAAAAGCAACACAGCTCATCACCCTGAACACACCATCCCCATTGTCAAACATGGTGGTGGCAGCATCGTGGTTTGGGCCTGCTTTTCTTCAGCAGGGACAGGGAAGATGGTTAAAATTGATGGGAAGATGGATGGAGCCAAATACAGGACCATTCTGGAAGGAAACCTGATGGAGTCTGCAAAAGACCTGAGACTGGGATGGAGATTTGTCTTCCAACAAGACAATGATCCAAAACATAAAGCAAAATCTACAATGGAATGGTTCACAGATAAACATATCCAGGTGTTAGAATGGCCAAGTCAAAGTCCAGACCTGAATCCACTCGAGAATCTGTGGAAAGAACTGAAAACTGCTGTTCACAAACGCTCTCCATCCAATCTCACTGAGCTCGAGCTGTTTTGCAAGGAGGCATGGGCAAAAATTTCAGTCTCTCGATGTGCAAAACTGATAGAGACATACCCCAAGCGACTTACAGCTGTAATCGCAGCAAAAGGTGGCGCTACCAAGTATTAACTTAAGGGGGCTGAATAATTTTGCACGCCCAGTTTTTCAGTTTTTTATTTGTTAAAAAAGTTTGAAATATCCAATAAATTTCGTTCCACTTCATGATTGTGTCCCACTTGTTGTTGATTCTTCACAAAAAATTACAGTTTTATATCTTTATGTTTGAAGCCTGAAATGTGGCAAAAGGTCGCAAAGTTCAAGGGGGCCGAATACTTTCGCAAGGCACTGTAGATATAGTTTACATAGTGTCTTTAGTTAGACCTTTATTTATCTTTTCTTTTAACTGGACAAGTTTTTATAACAAATTGAAAGTGAATATCAAAGTCTGTTAAAACTGCATTAGTTTGTCCAGAGTTACATGTTCACAGATTCCTCTGCTTTCTAACTGTACAAAGGTATGAGCAGAGTGGAAGAAAGAAATGCACATTTTAATTTTTACTCAGTTTTAAGTACATGAGAATTATAAACTAACTCATTAACATGGTTATATAAATCATGCTAGGAATTGCAGTTTGAATGTTGCATTGTTGCAGTATTGTAGACTAAGTTTTCGGTTGTCTTGTCTTTGCAGTAACAAAGCTTAAATAGTTGGGCAGGTGGAGATGAATGGATGAACCTGCGTCTCTTGAGAGAAAAGATGACGTTTCTGTCCTCCATCCTCCTTTCTTTTCATTCATCAGCCTAAAGCACACATTTCTGGCAGTCCCTAGTGATGAAGTAGTACTAGTTTTGGCACGCCTTTGTTCAAGTGTCTGTGTTTGTGTGCTGCAGCAGATCACTACTTCTGACAAAACTGCCTGTCAGAAGGAGGAAGTCTGGAGATCAGAGGCTAAACTCCAGTGATGGATGATCAAAGTGTGTGTGTACATGTGTTTGAGCGTGTGCACTCTGGGTCAAATAAAGGCAAGCAAAATGTTGAACTTGTCCTAACATGCAGAAAGACAAACTAGTCTGTTTTTAATGTCAAGGATTTAAGCTCAAATTATACGTGCTGACTTGGTCATGGTGACATGTCATTTTGTTGTCTGCCCAAACTTTGGGCTGACCCTTCATTTACTGTCCAAAATATATGATTTCTATGCAGACACTACAGGGATTATTCACTAATCCTGGCACAATTTTTTTAACCTTTATTTTAGCAGAAAGCCACATTAAGATCAATATCTCTTTGCCATCTGGCCAAGATGGCAACCATACAAATTTACAATATAAAAAAATTCAATACAATATACAAAAATTCCATTTGTAAAAAATTGCATCATTGCATTTTTTTTTTTTTAATTCATTAAAATGAACCCCACCATTACCAACTGTAATCAATCCGTATCAGACTTTTGCAAAGGATGTAGTTGTGTATTCTCGGTTACAGCTCCTCCAGGCAGCCTCCTCGCTCCTCAGAGCAGAAATAAGAGCTTTGGGAGTCCTTCATCGTAGTGGGCCAGAAAGGCTTCTGGGTCAAGTGAGGATCAAGGATTGATGACTAATACAATAAGGGAAATGGGACTCACCTACAGGTTACAGTGACTGATCCCACAAACATTTTGGAACAGCAGTCACATAGTCTTCTGTCAGTCAGATCATCTTTTATTTCATTCATTAACTGAAACCTACTTTGACCTGACAGCCTGTAAACGTCCCTCACATCCTCCTCTGGCAAGCAATTTACAAACACACTCACCCTCTTCAGATGAATTCTTAAATAAAAGAATTAAGATAGCTAACAGCTGCCACGCTGACTGCAGGGCCGCATATTTTACACCTGCGATTTCAGTTGCAGTTTTCTTTGCCACAGTGGTGGTAAATCAGGTCCCGAGGAACGGCCTAAATACATATTGCATGAGACCAAACACATTTCTGTGGTGCCACTTTTCCTTTTTTTCTCAGCATAAAATTCCAATGTGACTCTTTAGTAAATATGTGTATGAACACATGCGGTTTCACTGTATAGAACCAAAAATGAGCCACAGCACCATAAATATCCCCTAAAATGTTCAATTTAGGCCATATGCAAATGAGGGTTTATGGATATAAAAATCTTCTTATACATAACACAAAAATGCATACAAGATTTATTGTCACACATAGTTTGTTTTCACAAAATAATATTGTGAAAATGACTCAAAATATGCATCTTCAACTCATTCAAGCACCATGTATTGGGGTTTTCCATTATATTTAAATGCAGCTGGCCAGTAGATGTCACCATCATGGGATGACATTTTTTCAGAACAATGAATTTTCTGAAGCAGTTGATTCAAAGCTTCAGAAAGTCTTGTTTCTGCCATAACTATGTGTAGCACACAGGCAGAAACAATGTCATAAACAGTAGTTCCACTTCTCTACAATTCAAAAAATAAATGTCTCCAAAAAAGAGATTTTTTTTCAGTATTTGATGATTTTGACCTTGTCAACTAATCAAATGAGCGATTATTCATTCACATCCCTAATAGATAGATGTGTTGGCCCACCACTTTCCTACTACTTTTAACGTGTCACCCTTGTGTATATACCATCAAACATGTGCATCTTGTGTTATTTCAGTGTTCTGTTTCAAGTGGAGAGCAGTTTCAGGGTCTGTTGGACTAAACAGTGCAGCTGAACTATTCTCTGTGTGTCTACCCATGAGAGCAGTTTGTCATCACCGTTTAACTGGAGCTGGAGAGATGCACTGAAACCAGTGTGTGTGATGGAGCATCTGGTGCTCATTAGTGTCAGGATTCAGCTTTTTAACAGTAACTCATAACATAACATGAAACAGGATGTAATAGATCAGATGTCCTGTCGGCTTTGTGAGGCTGTTCAATTGGTTTCATTAGAAACTGGCACCTTGCTTGTCATTTTTTACCTTTGTCTGCTGTCTCTGATTAGCTTGCCTTCTTTTCCCTGCCTTTTACCCTTGTATGCTTCTTGTTTCTCTTTATTTTCTTTCACTTTACTTTACCTTCTATCCCATAGATTCTTTCCTTTCTCCACTTTTTGCCTTTTACAATCCTGCTTTTCCTTTTCTTCCTTCCTTTTGTTTCATGCCCTGTACTTTCCTATCCTTTCATTTTTTTCCTGTACTATTCTTTCTTTTCTCTTTTCTCTGCCCTTTATGTTCTTTTTCCCCTTCTCTTGGGTTTTTGTTGCCCTCTAAATAGACATTAAACTCCATTTCATATCCAAATTAAATGTATTTCAATCTATAAATGCATTGACTCTCATAACCAATCAGATGTTTCTTGCTTTTAATTCTGTAATTTTTGCAATAACACAGCAATGGCAGGTGTCCTTTCCCTTTCATAAGCCGATATGAGTCTTTGCACTGTGAAACATAAATGCACAGATGAAGACATTGAAAGATGTGGTCTCTTCCTCTTATAATGCCATCATGACATTGAGCTGAAATGAGTAGTTGAATAATCGATTACTCAATTGAAAAAATGTAACTGGGAACTACTTTGCAACTTTGTTATACTGCTTTTCTTCTCTCTGTTGCTGCAGTTTTAAATAATTTGTTTGTCATTCTCTCATATGTCCTTTCTCTGCTACCATCTGTCAATCCCTAGCTGAGCTAGTGTTCAAAAACAGCCCAAACAAAGGTAAATATCTATCAAAATGTTCGGTAATGTGAATTTCTTTCTGTCTGTCTCTCTGCAGCTCTTCCATGTGGCCTATGTGCTGATAAAGTTTGCCAATGCTCCCCGTCCAGACCTCTGGGTTCTGGAAAGATCCATTGACTTTGGCCAGACGTACCAACCCTGGCAATACTTCGCCTGTGAGTAGAAGCACACATACACATATGTATTAGCTATACAATACATACTTACCTGTGGCTGACTCCACATGTCTGGATATCAGGACCAAGCTGAGTCAGATTCCACAAGCATCACTTCATGCTTTCCTAACCTCCCTGAGGGTTGGGCTTAATTCTCCCTTTAATCTCAGGGTTAAACAGCAGCCTTGAGGTTGGTTGGTTGGTTTGTTGAAGTCTGGTATCATTGCATCATATAGCTCCGAGCTGATGGACTGTGGCAACTGTCAGTTCAGGTGGGCTGGGCTGGAGGGGAATTCCAGTCATGTCTGCCAACAGGTCACAGCTTGAAGTTTACCTGAGAAAAAGAGAGAGGGGAAGAGGGAGTTTGGGTCTGCCTTGTTTGTGTGTGTATGGGTTGTAATGACCTGACATTACAAGATGACCAAGATTGCAGAGGCTGATAAATAAAATCTTGATGCCTTAATGGATGGTGTTAATCTGAAATTCTTTCAAGTCACGTCTGTAATATTTTGTTGATATACCAGTATTCTGACAGGGACCAAACAAGATCTGGAGACTGAGTCATGGTAGGTCTTTAAATTTCCACTACTTCAATGTAAAAAAACAAAACAAAAAACAAATATTCCTTTAAATAAAAGACAACTGTACAGCCCAAACTAGTCACCCTAGGGTTAGGGTTAACCAGTTTCAGATGACAGCATTCTAGGGTTTGATGGTGATTTCCAGGAAGATGTCAGCAAGTACTGCCAGCTCGTTAAAACTTTGAAATTGTCCTCTGGGTGCTGGTGATTAAAAAGTTTGGCTATTGTTAATAAATTCCACGTGAGATGCAATTTCTTGGCCCCAAAGTGGCCTAACTTTGGCATTCCAGTTTTAGAGACCAGTGGCACACCATGGACTGATGACGGCCTATTGCTGACATGAATGCTGCTAACTGGAGTTGTTTTCCAGCATAAATCAGTCCAGGGTTTGTACCCCTAAAATCCAAGCACATCAGTACAGCATGGGCCAATGCCCCCAAACATTTGGTTCTTTGACTCCAGAACAACAAGAGTTCAACAGTGAGTGTCTCAGCTCTTGTCTGTTCCCTTTCACTGAAAATTTAACTTACTAAGAAAATTAACAAGTGGCATAAAACACTGGAATGTTTTTAAAAACATTTTATAATGTTGTCTTCACTTTAGAAAATCCCTGCAGCGTAGGCTACAGCAGGTTAATGGAATTCAATTCATTTAGCCTAACGTCTTGTAGACTCAGCAAACACCTGATGTTGGAGAGACATGCATGTCCATATCATAACGGTTGGTCCAAGTCTTTGTTTGAATGTTTGCGAGACATGCAATAAATATTCAAAACCCAAGGACTGTACATGACTCACTTTGGATGTCTTTGGACACCTAATACAAGTTCAGTATTTTGACATCTGGCACAGACCACCTGTCTACATCTGTAGACGTCCACATTAGGTTGGATATTTGGACATTTTATCTGGGCTTATTTTGGACATCTGTTAGCGTACAAGACAAGTCAGAATGTCAAATCAAAATGTCTCTGCTAGGGCCACGTTTTTTACATCCATGAACATGTATTGCAGATTTGGATGTCTGTACAAGATGTCTAAAATAAGTATGCATCTGTGCATGTAGACAAGACATGATTGGTAAATATCTGGATGTCTATTCAGGACATATTTTAGAGGTCATCGGACATCCAATAATAAGCCAAAACTTTGATACCTGATTTGGACATATGCACATCTTTTAGGGACCTACACTGGAGGTCAGTAGTCAGCAGTCAGGACAATACTTGCTTGGAGTACTTGTGTCACATTAGTTAATTTGCTAAATGTTCTTCCACCACACTTCTGTAACACTGGGAAAAGTGATACTGAAGTGTAGTAAAGTGCAGGCAAGATGTCTAATGGAAGTCAAAACTGAGAGTTTAAAAAAGGCGTCACATAAACTTTCATATTAAACCTTGTGAAGACGTCAGATGGAAGACATCAAAGAAAGACATCACAAACACTAATTCTGGCTATTCGGGATACTAATTCTCTCTTTTCAACGACTGACACAGCCCTCAGTTAGACGTCATGGCATGCCTCTGTGTGTAGTGGGAATGGGCTGCTTAACACTTGAATGGTAATTGTCTAATTTTGTAAAAGTGAGTTGCTCATATTTACTTATTTATGCACAGTGGCCGCAGTATTTTTAGTGGCCTTTGCTGTCACTGCGGAAAAAAACGTCATCTGCTTTATGTGGTGTTGACATAAAAAGTTACTGTGTTGTTCTGTTTATTAATTATTTTAAAAAATGAAATAAAATCAATCAAAATTTTGTTGTTATTAAGTACGTCATATCATTACAATTGAAAATTTATTTGATGGATAATAATAAACTATGATGGAATTTATATCACCCTGTCCTGTCCAGACAACAAAAAAGTCTACTGTGAACTCTGAGTTAAAGTCTGGTCTCATACTGTTGAGCATGCTTTTACAGTCAAATTCTGAAAGACAGAGGAAAGCCAGCGCAACCAGCCAGCATTCATAAGATGAGATGAAAAGATGAGCTTGATTGTCACTGATGCAAGTAACTGGCCCTCAAAACTGTCCAGTACATAGTCTCTACCTTTTCATGTATTATTATTTATTCACTGTTTGTTTAGAATGTACATATTTTATCTTCCACCCCTCATATCCTTTATTTCTAGCATTTCACTGAGATCCAACCAACTTTTCAAGGCATCCAGACTGATATTTCCTTAAGTGGCCGAATCTTGTAAAATGTCCTGAAGATGTCTCTTAATAATAATGGTACCTCCTACCTACAGTAGCTTATAGTATAGTACTATTGATGGGTACACTTTAGTATAAGAATTTAAAGATGGTCTCTTTCAATTTAGACTTTAAGGTGTTAAAGGAATAAGTAGCATTATTTATGGTCTCACAGTATCATGAACCCTATACATTTCAACATTCTTGATCAGCTGATATGGAATATTACTTGGATCCAGATCATACCTTTGTGCGTGGTACTGTGGATCTTTAATGGAGGTTATCTAGCAATTTTTGTCCAAGCATTGTAGGCATTATGTATGGAGTAAGAATTGAAAATATTGAAATTGGCCCCATCCCACAGTGGCAAAGAATCCTTTAAAAAATCCTGGACCTGGATGATGAGCCTGATCAGCACTAAATCTAATGGACTGTTTGGTGGGCCATAATTTACTTCTCCATAAAATGTCATCAAAATCCATTCAATACCTTTTGATTTATGGTTTGAGCAAGCAAATGAACCAACAGACACCGGTAAAAACATCAGCTCCTCGGTGAACTGTAACATTCATGACCTGTGTCTAATACAATATCACACATCCCTAAAGTAACATGAGCAGCCTCACATCAGCCGCAAACAGAAGCTATTTTACTAGGCTGGTTTACGCTGTTCACAGTTCCACAACAGTGTGTATTCTGTTCATGTTCAAATTTATGTTCTGTTGTTGTTTGTGCCATATTTGCACATGTAAAAATAAACCACTTATTTTAATGGGTCACAGAAGAGGATAGACCTCCACCAAACCCAGATCCTCCTCTAATTATCACACTGAGATGATTCATATGAGGGGATGTTCATGTTTCCCAGTTGATTCGAACCTTTTCTTTTTCTTTATTCCCTCCTTCCTTTCTTCACTCTTATCCATTGCGCATCTGTGTGTGTGTGTAGCCTCTAAGAGAGACTGCATTGATCGATTTGGACAGAGGACAATTGAGAGAATCAACCATGATGACGACATCATCTGCACAACTGAATACTCACGTATAGTCCCGCTGGAAAATGGAGAGGTATGTGTGTGTTTGTGTACAAAATAATTTAATGTCTTTGTCTACAGCAAAGGAGTTGAAATGATTAATCGGCTAATTGATTAGTTGATTGACAGAAAAATGATTGGCAATTGATTTGATTATAAGTTAGTGGTCGAGCAGAAATTCATTACTTCCAACTCCTCAGCTGTAAAGATTTGCTGCTTTTATTAATCTTATTATCTTATGTAAATAAGTAACATCAAGTTCTTGCGTAGCCCCACTGAAGGTCATGGTGGTGATTTTTTTTTTTATCTGCTTTTGCAGTCAATCAGTCTGTACTATATAGCACATTTCAGATAAATATAGTGTAACACAAAGTGCTCCACAATGGCAAGTGGTCCAGGTCCAGAGGCAGCAAATCAGCCCCAATTCATGATGCTCCTCCACTGTAATTCACTGTTTGGATGATATTTTCATGTTCTCTTTTTATGCCATATGCAGTGCTCTGTGTTCTTCCCAAACAATTCCACCTTTGTTTCATCTGTCCACAGGACATTTTCCCAGTGGTGTTGTGGGGCAGGAACTGATTTTTCTTTTGTCCCACCCAAGTTAAACTCTGCTAGTGTTGCTTCTCTAAGCTTAAGGCCATCGCTGTGTGTCTTTAAACTGTAGACATAACATAGAAAAACAGTCCTGCCACCTTACTTGGGAATAATTAATAGTGTAACAATATACATAGATGTTTTGTGGCATGATATTTTGTAAATTCATGGTTGAGCTGGTTGATATCACCCCTCCTGTGCTCCCTGGCCTTTCTGTCATATTTACATTTCCACACTTGTTTGTTAGCTGATAAAGCCTATGTCCTTCTCCTATCTGCTCTCAGATTGTTGTTTCCTTGGTGAATGGTCGTCCTGGGGCACTGAACTTCTCCTACTCACCAGTGCTGAGGGAGTTCACCAAGGCCACACACATCAGGCTGCGCTTCCTGAGAACCAACACACTGCTGGGACACCTGATGGGCAAGGCGCTCCGTGACCCCACTGTCACACGAAGGGTAGGACAAAATGGGAATATAACGAGTACTGGCTTCTTATAACTTGGAACAAAACATTTTTTGTATATATTTGAAATATTTTACATGCATGAGCTCCTAATGTTTCTTAAAAATGACATTTTATATATCTATAAAGTAAAAATTATTTTTTAAAGTGGGTACGGAAAGTATTCAGACCCCCTTAAATTTTTCACTCTTTGTTATATTGCAGCCATATGCTAAAATCATTTAAGTTCATTTTTTTCCTCATTAATGTACACACAGCACCCCATATTGACAGAAAAACACAGAATTTTTGACATTTTTGCAGATTTATTAAAAAAGAAAAACTGAAATATCACATGGTCATAAGTATTCAGACCCTTTGCTCAGTATTTAGTAGAAGCACCCTTTTGAGCTAATACAGCCATGAGTCTTTTTGGGAATGATGCAACAAGTTTTTCACACCTGCATTTGGGGATCCTCTGCCATTCCTCCTTGCAGATCCTCTCCAGTTCTGTCAGGTTGGATGGTAAACGTTGGTGGACAGCCATTTTCAGGTCTCTCCAGAGATGCTCAATTGGGTTTAAGTCAGGGCTCTGGCTGGGCCATTCAAGAACAGTCACAGAGTTGTTGTGAAGCCACTCTTTCGTTATTTTAGCTGTGTGCTTAGGGTCATTGTCTTGTTGGAAGGTGAACCTTTGGCCCAGTCTGAGGTCCTGAGCACTCTGGAGAAGGTTTTCGTCCAGGATATCCCTGTACTTGGCCGCATTCATCCTTCCCTCGATTGCAACCAGTCGTCCTGTCCCTGCAGCTGAAAAACACCCCCATAGCATGATGCTGCCACCACCATGCTTCACTGTTGGGACTGTATTGGACAGGTGATGAGCAGTGCCTGGTTTTCTCCACACATACTGCTTAGAATTAAGGCCAAAAAGTTCTATCTTGGTCTCATCAGACCAGAGAATCTTATTTCTCACCATCTTGGAGTCCTTCAGGTGTTTTTTAGCAAACTCCATGCGGACTTTCATGTGTCTTGAACTGAGGTAGAGGCTTTTGTCGGGCCACTCTGCCATAAAGCCCCGACTGGTGGGGGGCTGCAGTGATGGTTGACTTTCTACAACTTTCTCCCATCTCCTGACTGCATCTCTGGAGCTCAGCTACAGTCATCTTTGGGTTCTTCTGTACCTCTCTCACCAAGGCTCTTCTCCCCCGATAGCTCAGTTTGGCCGGACGGCCAGCTCTAGGAAGGGTTCTGGTCGTCCCAAACGTCTTCCATTTAAGGATTATGGAGGCCACTGTGCTCTTTGGAACCTTAAGTGCAGCAGAAATTTTTTTTGTAACCTTGGCCAGATCTGTGCTTTGCCACAATTCTGTCTCTGAGCTCTTCAGGCAGTTCCTTTGACCTCATGATTCTCATTTGCTCTGACATGCACTGTGAGCTGTAGGGTCTTATATAGACAGGTGTGTGGCTTTCCTAATCACGTCCAATCAGTATAATCAAACACAGCTGGACTCAAATGAAGTTGCAGAACCATTTCAGGGATGATCAGAAGAAATGGACAGCAGCTAAGTTAAATATATGAGTCACAGCAAAGGGTCTGAATACATATGACCATGTGATATTTCAGTTTTTCTTCTCATCTAACTCTCAACAAGAATGCAAACAGGTAACAGTGTTGAAGTATTCCTTAACTAAAACATTAAATATCACAAATTTTCTTTGGTAACAACTTCTGTTTTGTTATTTTATTTTTTTTTCAGTACTACTACAGTATCAAAGACATCAGTATTGGCGGACGCTGTGTGTGTAATGGACACGCTGAGGCCTGCAATGCCGAGGACCCCAGTGACCCCTATAAGTAAGGAACTCATTTGTACCCAACCTTCAAAGGACCCATGACTATCTCACTCACACACAATCGGGGAATCAGATTGCACTGTTAGGACTCCTACACTGGGAAACCAGCATTGATTTGACTGGATTTATAGAGTGCAAGTGTATGTCTGACTTTGTTTGAACCCCCAACTGAAGAAAGATGAGAGAAAATTTTGAAAAACAGTTATACAAATGATTCATATTACAGTATGGGCTCAGTGCAGAACCACATTACACATTCTCACACATTTAAACACACTCAATTTCAGACACACAAAGGTTTCACTTACTCTTGGTTGTAGTTTGCTGCCAGTGCTGTGTGTCAGGGACAGCACATTTCCACTTCAAGTAAGATATGAGATTTGTTACACAGGCCAAGACCTAGTTTCAATTCTTCAGTAGCAAATGAAAATTTTATGTCTACAAACTCAGCAAGTGTAGTCTCAGTGATTAGTGATCAGTATAAAGAGAAACATCCACTGAACATGATCTTTATAGTGCTGTCAAAATTGGCCAAAAATGATGTTTGATTATTTGCTCTAAAAACAAAACACATGGGTTCAAACCATTCAATTATCTGTTTTTACACAGAGAAAAAACTAATACAAGGAGAGGCATAACTGCTTGTATATTTAATTCAAAATGAACACATCTTTTAAAACATCTACACGTAACAAAATACACAGTTAGGTTACAGTATAGAGAACAGGCATTCAATGCTCTGGACTAGCTGTGCTGTGATAAACAATTATCTTTCCTTAACACAAAACAGGAAATAATAGTCAAACTACTGAGGATCTGCAGTGCATAAAGCTTCTGTCTCTAGTGCTAGAGTCATAGGCATTAAATCCATAGTGAGTCTCATAGGGGAAAAACAAACACACACAGGGGCTTGTATTCCAACTTTAGTTCAAGGTTTATTGAGCAATCCCAGAAGTACTGTATCTCTGAATGAGGCTATCCAAGCTGAGTGCAGATCACTCTCTGCAGCCGAGCTGTGAACTAATTACCACACAGTTGTTGAATTATCTGGTCATTTCATTTTTAATCAGTGACACTGATGATATGACTCTCATGCAGTGCCTTGAGTGCAAGGCAAACAGTCACTGTAGTGCTGCTTTTTTCCACTGCTGACTTTTTTAACTATTCAATTATGTAATCTAATTTCAAATATTCTTTGACAGCCCTACTTAACACACAATATAAAGTCAACAAATTGGACTAAGGTGAAGGGTAAAACTGCACTCACTATGTGATGTTTGACCAGATTATCTATCTGAGAATGGTGAAAGAAGATGTGGTAAAATTTTGATGAGCTGAATACAGAAAACAGGGCTTAAAAACACACAGACAGATAGGCACAACATTTCCAAAGACACAAAACATGACCATACCAAAAATGTTATTTTTTGGCCATGGTGTTTCCTTCTTAAACATCACTTAGATAATAGAAACATGGAGCTGTGTGTGTAAATGTCCAGGTAATTATAGGTTTCTCATGAGAAATGGAACTGGGCAGTTATTAACTTAATAATATGTGGGAGTGATTGTGAATCATAATACACATTGTATGATTTGGAGGGTTTTGAAATAAGCCATCATTACTCTGTCAAATCCATAGTGAGTCTCATAGGGGAAAAACAAACACACACAGGGGCATGAGCAGTCACATGTTTGGTTAGTTGTTTTCTGTCTGTCTTGTTTTATTTGCAAGTACGCACACAACACGCTCACACATGCTCCTATTATGTGTCACTAATTTCTCTCTGTTACACACATACAGATAATCACATACAATAACACGCTGGTCCAGGCTTGTTGAAGTTATCTGGAGACAGTTCATTGTAAAACTGATGATGTCTCTTTCCATGTTGTTGCAGATGAGCAACAATAAAGTGGAAAGTTAAGAGGAAAGGAGGGACTTCAGATGGAGGAAAGGGAGATAGTCAGATATGATGTAGATAGGAGGAAAAAATGCCGCTGGTTCGAGGTGTTTCTACTGCGACCCCGACACGGGAGATGTTTAATCTGTGATTTCACTGACAGTGGATACGTAGACACAGGCGACTCTGTTTTTGGTTATTAACCTGGGAATCAGGTTGTGTAAAGTGGTTGTGCGAGGATGAGGAAAAACGGTGGCATCACTGCTATAAAAATTGTCTTTTACAGATTTTTTTATTTCAGAAAAACAAGATTTTGCTAATTTTTAGGTTTACAGCTAAAGATCATTTTCTCTGCTGGTTGTTTTTTCTGTAAAAATGCATCATGACTTCCTGTAGCCCAAGGTGACATCTTTGATATTTTATTTTGCCAAATCAGTCATCCAGAATCCAACGATATTCAGTTTTGTGTTATAGATTACAAAGAAAACCATGAAATCTGCACATTTGAGAAGCTGGAACCAGCAAATGTTTGGCATTCTAATATACACACAGATGGAAATACCAAAAATATATACTGTCCATACATGTCAGAGGACATAGTAGGGTTGATGATCTCCTGATAATTTAACAATACTGCTAGTTTATGTCATGGTCTTAAGTTTTAATTATTTTAGCACTGTTTATGAGAAATCTTTTTTTTTTCTTAGTTCGGAATAAGACATGACTGTAAAAACTACAGTACCCATGAGCCTCAGCTACAGTACCCATGAGCCTCAGCTGTTGTTGCATTTGGGAAGGAATTAGTTTAACACACGAATCAGAGCTGTAGCAAATTCAAAACAATTTGTCATTGCAAGTAAATAAAATAAATAAACACCACAACATACTGTAGCTGCCGGATTCATCTAGAACTGAAATCATTGTAACACATTTTTTACCTAGTTTCTACAAAGGTAAATTGGGTGTCTTGTACTTTTTTACCTTTATTTATTGAGGTAGGTCAAAATAACTTCACTTTTTTCTAGTCTTCATGTTTAACTTTAGACTGGAGACAATGTCAGCAGTTTAACATAACATATACAATACAACAACTGTAAAGTTGGATGTATACACAGAGTGAAAGTGAAGCACAGTAAATTACTCAAATATTAGACACCTCAACACAAAATCTGTTTCTGCTGTTGGAACCTAATGAGTGGTACACCATTATTTCCCCAGGGCATCAATACCGACAAACACCTTCAGGGTTTTTAATATAGTATCCACTCACGTCAGTATTTAATGCCCAGAGCAAGAGGTTGTAGTACATAAAGGGAGAAAGTCCACGGTGGGAGGTGGAAGGTGGGTCAGACAAAACATTGAACTTTCCCACAGAAGAGGGATGTTTGTCTGGTCTGTAATGAAGTGTTTTAACCCAAGCCACGATATTTTTCTAAACCTAACCATGTAGTTTTGGTGCCTAAACATAACCACATTGTTTTGGTGTACTGACAGTGGGCTCACACTGGTCTGTGGAGAAAACCACAAGCATCTTATGAGACATGAAATGTACTTGATAAAATGTCAGGAGAACATGCTGGTGCTTCCTGTAGTTGTCCCCTGGCATAACCTCAGGCTGGTGTTGACTGTTCTGCTTCATTTTTCCCACTGTATATTTACCTGTGTTGGTCTCTGGTTAGATGAGGGCAGGGCTGTGCACACACACAGCTGAGCAATAGATCTCATCTCATCTCATTTTCAATACCGCTTAATCCCGAACGGGGTTACGGGCGGTGCTGGTGGTGGGAGGCAGGGCTGTGTTTTAGGGGCCTTAAAAAGACCAGGTATTCTGGGTATATAGTACATTGATAAAAGATCCACATGGATAGAATGGTAAGAAGAAAAATGGGAGCGAAGGAATCAAAAATATGAAAGGGAGACCCATTAAAGAGATGTGGTATACTGTTGGCAGTGAAATACAAAGAGATGGAAAAATAAAAGACCACATGCTTTTCATCCAGTTGAACAGAGAGACCAGTTGAAAAACTCAAAGACAACATTGAAACAGAAGAAAGATCTTGCATTCCACAGTCATCAGTCATACTTTGTGTTTTACATGTGCCTAAAACCTGGATAGAAATGGGTCATGTCTTAATGTCTTGGCAGTATTCCTGGTTACCACACATAGATAGAAGATAGATAGATAGAAATACTTTATTAATCCCAATCTGGGAAATTGCATTGTTTCAGCAGCGGTTCACACTCAATATCAAGCACACATACCAATAAATAGAATAGATAACTTACATACTTGTCTTATGTTCGGTAGTCCTTTCATTAGACAACTGCATGTGAAATCCATCCATCCATCCATTATATATACCGCTTATCCTGAATAGGGTCACGGGGGGCTGGAGACAGTCCCAGCTGACACTGGGCAAGAGGCGGGGTCCACCCTGGACAGATTCTCCAGTCCAACAACCACACACTCAGACTCACTCCTCCAGGCAATTTAGAGTCACCAGTCAACCTAAGCTGCATGTCTTTGGACTGTGGAAGGAAGCCGGAGTACATGGGGAGAACTCACGCATGTGAAATCTCAGCATGATCTTGTTCGTCAGTTGAAGATTTGGCATCTTACAGTGTGTGAACAAATTGGAGTTGTAGTTTATATTTTCATTCTTCCCATAAAGTTTTCCAGTTGTTTTTAGAGTAGATCAGGTTGTATGATGACAATCAATCATGCCTAGCCTCACCAACACAGGTGTAGTGCTGCCGGAACAATGCTCTGCCATTTATTTTTCCTCCAACAGAGGAGAAACAATAGGCCTATTTGCATAATGTGGTTGAAATTCATAATACTGCATTATTGAAGATCCAATTATCAGTAAAGTGTATGTCCTGCAAAATGGAATGATCCATGTTGTGGTATTAAAATTTAAGCTGTGACTGATTCACAATGTCAAACAATGTGAGCTCATATGCACAACTGGCTCCTGTGAGTGTTTGTGTGTTTTGTTCAACCGCATATATGACGACATGGATGGGTCACAGTGATACAGTTTAGTGTTGACTACATACTCCATTTACAAAAGACAAGTGGCAGAAGGAAACTCAGATC